ATTTGCTTCATGCTTAGAAGGATCTGTAATATCACAAGTTTATAAGAATCTGCATTTTTAAAAAATATATGAGTTGATATTTAAAAAAAAGAATCTGCATTGTTTACATGTCTTTCCTGATTTTATTTCTCTTCAACTAGTTTTCCCTCACTTTGGAGGATGGTGTAATATAGGGCTCTTACTTTATTTTCTTCCAAATGGTAAGCCAGTAGTCCCCACATTATTTATTATGTAATCGGTCTTTTCCCTTCTCATTTGACTTGCTGCCTTGATTGGATTCTTACTTTTTACTTACTTGTGGGCTTTTTGTGGATTTTTCTTTTCTGATTTATTATTCCTGAGCCAGACTTAATTGTTTAATTATTGTAGCTTTTAAATAAATTTTAACGTCTGTTAAGGTAAGAACCCTATCATTACTCTTCATTTCCAAAATGTCCTTGGCTAATCTCACCCATTTTTTTTTTCTGCCAGGGAAACTTGAATTATTCTGTCATTATCTCCTCTCTCTTAACAACAAAGACCTCAGTGATTTTCATTAGAATTGTATCAGTTTATAGCTGTCTTTGTGAAAAATGGACATTTTTACAATGTTGAATCATTGAGTCTTCTTGTTCAGAAATCTGGTATGTTGTTCAAAGCTTTTTTTTGTCTTTACTAATTTTTTAAAGCATCTTTAAAGGTGCTGACCACCTAATCCCAAACTTTCTCAAAAACTATTATTTATATGCCTATATGCTTCTAATTTTTTGGACCGTGGTAAAATTTGTTTTCTTTAAATGCTCCACATTTTCTTTTTTCTTTTTCTTTGAGATAGGATCTTGTTCTGTTGCCTAGGCCAGAGTACAGTGGCACAACCTTGGCTCACTGCAACTCCCGTCTCCTGGGCTCAAATGATCCTCCCACCTCAGCCTCCCAAGCAGCTGGGACTGCAGGTATGCGTCACCACACCCAGCTAATTTTTGTATTTTTTGTGGAGACAGGATTTCACCATGTTGCCCAGCTAGTCTTGAACTCCTGAGCTCAAGCCAACCACCAGCCTTGGCCTCCCAAAGTGCTGGGATTACAGGTGTGAGCCACCACGCCTGGCCACACATCTTTTTTTTCAGTTAAACCTTAGGTTTAATATTTGTGTTGCTATTGTGAATAAGATTGTACCCATTATTTTTAAACCTATTGCACTTGCTAGTTAGTTTTTGGCTTGTTATTGATCTCGTTACTTAATTTTCCCATGGGTTGTAAATTTTTTTAGCAGATTCTCCTAAGTTTTATTTATTATTTATTTATTTGAGACAGAATTTCTCTCTTGTCGCCCAGACTGGAGTGCAGTGTCACAATCTTGGCTCACTGCAACCTCTACCTCCTAGGTTCAAGTGATTCTCCTGCCTCAGCCTCCCAAGTAGCTGGGATTACAGGCGCCTGCCACCATACCCAGCTAATTTTTGTATCTTTAGTAGAGATGGGATTTCACCATGTTGGTCGGGCTAGTCTTGAACTCCTGATCTCAGGTAATCCATCTGCCTTGGCCTCCCAAAGTGCTGGGATTACAGGCATGAGCCACTGCGCCTGGCCTCTCCTGAGATTTTAAATGAAGCAATATTTACCCTCCACACATTTTATTTTTTTAAAATTTCAAACATGAAGAAAAGTTGAAAAAATAAAATGAATATTCATATATTCTCCATCTAAATTCACCAGTTATTAACATTTTACCACATTTGTCTTCTCTCTCTAGCAAATGTGGTAAAATGTTAACCATTGGTGAATTTAAATGGAGAATATTTATATGCCCACTCACACTTGTATACACTTCGTTGTTGCTATTGTTTTACTAAACAATTTTAAAGGAAGTCATGGATGACTATACTGTAACCCAGGGGTTGGCAAACTATTTTCTGTAAAGGGCCAGATAGTAAATATTTTAGGCTTAGGGAGCCAA